CCCCCTGGCATGACAAGGAACAATGGACACAAATTATTAGAGAGTAGATTTAGATTAGACATACGCAAGAACTACTTCACAGTTAGGGCGGCTAGGAGCTGGAACCAACTTCCTAGGGAAGTGGTGCTGGCTCCTACCCTGGGGATCTTTAAGAAGAGGCTTGATGACTACCTGGCTGGACTCATTTGGGTCCAGTCTTTTCTCCCGCCCAGGCGGGGGGTTGCAGTTGAAGATCTACAAGGTCCCTTCCGACCCTACTTCTATGACTCTATGATTCTATGAATATGAGGGTGGTGAAGCATTGGAATAGGCTACCTAGAGAGGTTGTGGAGTCTCCATCCTCTTAAGAGGTTAGATAAACATTTGGCTGGCATGGTTTAGACAGGGATGATCCTGCCTTGAGCAGGGGGTTGGACTAGATGATCTCCTGAGGTCCTCTCCAGGCCTATTTTTCTATGATTTTATAATCCTGTGACACCTTAATTTCCAGAGGGTAGGTGCAAGGTTGTATTAAGGCACAGATATCAAACATGCAGCCTGTAGGCTGGATGCATCCTTTGGAGCTGTATGATCCACCCCATGGATCACTGGACCACCCCATACACCAGCCTCTGCCCCAGATGCTGCATCAAATACCTCATTTTGGACCCGCAAAAACTAAAGCACTCCAGCTCACTAGTCATTTCTGAAAAGTTGGGGCCAGTTATTCCCCCTTATTTACAGGCCCTCTTTTAAAATCAGGCTTTGAAATTCCTTTCTCCCTAGCTAAAAAAACCCAAAACACCTCAAATCAAAGCCACCTCTGGCAAAACTCTACTAAAGAGCTAACACACAGATAGATGTTATTTGGAATTAAAGTCATCTTCTGTTTGTGTGTTGCTCTGAAAAAAAACTGTGATGTTATAAAGAGATCACAAGTTCAGGGAATACACTGAAGAAGCAGATGAGATGTTAAGCCACCTTGATATCTTACCCATGTAAATAATTAGGGAAAAGATGAGCAAAATATGAAATATCAAAGCAGAATTACTTAATAGACAAAAAGGTTATTTAAAGCTTCTAATGAGCCAATAAGAAAGCTGTTTGATTGTCTAGACTTAATAAGGCCATAACTCACACTACATTTTATGCAGTTTATATGCTAAATGAACACTTAGCATATCTCTCTGCAATGAAAGGAATAAATCTGTAGAGGCAGCTACATGAGATACTGAAGGCAAGATCAACGTGCTAACATCCCAAAGTTGCAAATGTGTTTAGGCACTTAAATTAATCTTGATCCCAACAAATAAGGGAAGTTTCAGGAAACCTAATTAGATATCCGTGGTGTTTTAAACTCTAGTAGAAAATGCAGAAAAATGTCGATTGCTTTTTAAAGTACTACATCTATCTTGTTAAATGCTAATTGATAACGCTCATTTGCCTTATTAGTCTAAATGAGTGTTGTTTAAAATACTGTAGCATAAATAGTATGAATGGCTCTGCAATTTAGCAGCCCATGAGGTCAAAAAATAGCTTCATGTAAGTAAATCCTGTAGGCAGACCAGCTGCTAACATGCCTGGATCCTGACACTGACCCCAGCCTGTGACTCCGTGTCAGATAATCTCACATTTTTCTTACATCATGACCTCCAGCTTTCACCCAGTTGCAACCAATCCCCAAAGGCATCTCAGAACCCTATTTTTCCCTCATGAAACAAAGGATTCTGGGAGACATCTATGCAGAAATCAACTGCCAAAAGTTGGGTAGAGAGGTTTTAGTGAATGACTGGTACACAGAACCAAGTAGGTTTGTAATCTTTCCTCCTTGGACCATAGCTGGTGATGTCTTGTTAACTGTCTGGAAAACTTATACTTTATTTCATTTCTCCAGCTTACATTTACTTATAGGTGTGCTTTGAAGTGGGCAAGGAGAGTGGAGAAACAGGCTGGGGGGGCTCTTTTAAATGAATATTCATAATTACACTAGACTCAGTAGAAGACGTTATTGAGGGCAGTGCTACTGAAGTTGCACTGGACCAGGTCCTTTGTGGTTTTCATCTTGAAAACACTGATTAGTCCCCAAGAGGATAAGTACTATCATTATTATCCTTGCTTTACAAAGGGAACGTGGAACAAGCAGTTGATAGGACTTGTCCAAGGCTCTAGAAAGTGAGTGATAGATGTGAGATTAGATTTTAGGAGATCCTCAGCTCTCAGCTTTTAGCCTCGCATTTGCCTTTTGTCCAAGAGTGTAGGAAATGCTAATTAGCAGGAAAACAGTTTAAAACAAGCAAAACAGTCAAAAACAAAAGTTATTTGTGAACTATAACAGTGTTCCCTCTTTTCATGCAGCTCCAGGGCACTGTTAAGGATGATTGCAACCAACGCTTCCTTTAATATCTATTTTGATTCCTTAGCATCACTCTATCTGCAAATTCAATGAAAATGTAAATGAAGTCCCAGTAATCGTTCCAATATCAACCAAATGCACAATGCCTCTATGTTCCAAAGCGAGCCTACCAGAAGCAAGTGTGCCAAACCTGCACAGTGTAACCTGGGGATGAATGGCAAGCAATGCATCAACCCCAAGCACCAATTCAGTGGGGGCACCAGAATGAAAACCCACACTGCTTGCTGCCACTGCAGAAGTCCATATTTGGGGAGCTTGTGCTGCAGCAACAGCAGCCAAAACCACAACTGCAGACACCCCTGTGCCAGCAGGAGAGCACTTGCTTCCCTCCCAACCATGCTGCCCAGAGTACCAACATTTCACCATAAGTTACATCTCTGCCTGCTCCCAAAGGCAGCTTCATGACAGCTTAAGCTGACTGTATACACCCAGTCCTTTAAGTGCACAGGCACAGAGCATTCTGCAACAACAAGCCAATGTTTTTATGAAACTTGAGGGATAGGGGTTATTAAGGAAATAGAATGGAAGATAAAAGCAATGGTTTTCCTTGGATGGTTGGTATAGTGATAGAAGTTATACTTTATAGATACTCCCTAGTAGGAGGCTGAGGGTGTTGGGATTTGGGAAACGATCCCTTAGTGATAGAGCCTCTAGCTAGTCACTTAGTGAGATACAGACAAAGGGTCTGCAGACATTGTGTAGTGCTCCACAGATTAAAGTGTGTTGTTCTTCTCATTCACCTATGCTTGTGTTTACTGATCCCAGTAATCACTATAGTTGGAAAGTCCTGGTTTTTATACCAACACTATACAAGGCAGCTATCCTGCCAAAGGGTCATAAACCGAAATACAAAATGCTGACATTGCAGAGAATTTTCCACAGATGACAATTACTCTTGTGTAGTGTTTGCCGATGTTTCCAAAGGTGGGGCAACTGGAGTGAAGACAAAAATGAAGAGCAATAAAAAGTATGAAGAACCTAGAGAAGCTGACATTGTAGGGAAGGTTTAAGAACCTAAGGATGCTTCCCTGGGCTAAGAGATTGTCAAGGTGAGCATCTGACCATGACTGCACATGTTTGGACAACCTAGGCATCTGGTGGGAGAGGTGATAATGGGGCTAGAGTTGTGGCAAAATTCAGAAGAAAAAAAAGTTAGGTTGAAGATTTGGAGGCATTTTCTGACAGTAGAATCTGGAAGATGGCAGAATTAAAAGACATGGTAGATTCTCAGTTGCTAGACCCAGTTAAAAATTAGACTGGGAAAAGCACTCGAGAACACTGAGGAAAATCATTTGCTGCCCCCCAGATCTGGATGAGTATGAATGACTTACTAGGTCTTTTCCAAGTCTATGGCTCCATCGAAAGTCCACTGAAGTAGATAGGAATCTTCCATTGGTTTTAATGGGCTTTGGATCAATCCCAAAGTTTCTAACAAACTCCATTTGATCCAGACTGCTTGGTGGGGGAGCTGGGGTAATGGGAAGGGGAAGCACAGAGGTCAGCTGGTCTAAATTACACTGTGAAAATGCCCTTGAGTGGAATTAGTCCCCATGTCTGCATTACCTACCTCATCTCCAATGAGGAATTCATCATCTACTGTAAAGGTGATAGGGTCATTGGGGCTGAGCCACCACACTGGCCGGAAGATGGGATACCCCATGGATAGCCACTCCTCGCTGTATTTTAAAATGAGTGGGACAACAAACTCTTGATGCCTCTGTATGTACTGTCTAGTGAGATTCAGCACCTGGGAAGAAGAATTCAACAAGTTATCTCACTTAATAAATGGCACAGCAAACATAAAAACAAGACTTTTCACTCCCAGAGGGAAAACAAGGTCATGCAGAAAAGCATGGACAATAAATCCTAGCAAAAAAATGATCTGTGAACCACCAGACAAGCAAGTGCAAACAGCTGTGGCAGATTGATGTGGTGCGAGCTCCCTGCATCTCAGCTGCTACTGCTGTGGCATGGGTGTGCGATCCCTGTACCCCTCCTGCTCTGGGCTCCTTTACTCAAAAAGTAAAATTGTAGCTCTCTAGGGCTAGCACTGAGTTGGAGAGAGCCCAGGGGTGTCAACTAGCTCCCTCACACCCATCCCCAATGGCCTCCCTGATGAGGACCTGGGACTCTTCTCCCTACACTGACAGTGGGAATCAAAAGGGGGTGTGATTGTGCCTCTTCACCCCCACTGGATCCACCCCTGACTACTGACATAGAGGGTGTGATTTAACTCCTAAGCCTTTCAGTTTGAATTTTACTAGACTTATCGTCCTAAAATTGAATCCTCAAGGATCACCATCAGAACAAATGGCATGTATGGACGAGCCAGCCTTACTGATTCTCTTCCTGGTACCAGCTATTTGATGCTAAAACCAAAACATAAAGAAAAAAATAAGTTTCCTATGTTGTTGCAGTGGTGATAATATATGGAGGGGAGAGAAGTACTGATGCAGAAACGTGCTTCTTTGGCTGCCTTTTCAGGCTGATTTTCCAGCAGGCTTTAAGTGCAGCCCTCACTATGGAAAAGTCAGTGCCTCAGAGGTGATGCATCTGCTAAACTGAAAAGGTTGGGAATTACATTTCCCCCAGGTACATGTTTGCTGAGAGAGAGCGATGGTGCATATCACCACTCCCCGTCAGCATGCATGACTAGGTAGGAAGGCTTCGTGAATACTGGTGCTGACATCTCTGTGTCCATAGTACACAACTTGCTTTCATCAGACCTGAATGGATGAATGCTTTGTTCTCTTCCTGCTTTGCTGAAATTGAGATCTGGATGGGAGAGAGCTGTCATAAGTTCAAAAGAAGACCATGGAGTCTACAGGTTAGAAGAAGGATGCCACAGACATATCCCCACGAGCATGCACATGAGGTTTGCAGCACTTCAAAGCTGTTTGAGGTACTGCAAACTACATACCACGCACATGTACCCATGTGCCATGCTGCTAATTTACAGCACGGTGGGGGGTTTTTTATACCAGGAGATCCCAGTGTCAAAAAAAACTACCGCTAAAAAACACAGCATGTGTGCGCCTCCAGAAACCACAGCCTGGCCAATCACAACCATTCTCTGGCTTATGGCCAGGCTCTGAGTGGCTGGCTCGGTGCTGCTGCTGCTCCAGAACCTTGGGTAAGGCTGCTGGGGCCAGCACAGGTGCTGGGCTCAGCCTTCCCTACCCCATCTGGGTACCTTTGCTGTGTGCCAGAGTGCACGTGCAGGGGTGTGCCTGGGGACAAATAGCAGCAGCACAAATATGTGCCACTGCTATTTGTCCTGTGGGAAACGGGGGCCCCTGCATGTATGCTTGTAAAGATGTACCCTAGGAGTCCAGTATATGTGATTCCAGCTCCTACTTCTCAGAGGCCCTCCTACTCTTTGCTTGGCAAAAAATTAGATGGTGATTTTGGTTTCCTGATCACTCCTGAATCTCAGATGACACTAATGGCCCAAATGAGATTTTTCAACTACTTCAGGACAATGATTTCCTTCAGTTATGGGTCTTGGTAAGGTCAACCATATCTTTTGGACTTCTAGGGGGGAGAAGTGCAATGTACTCTATCTAGATTGGCTTGATGACCCTCCCAAGTCACAGGTGGGGCAAAAGGCAGCTTTTGCCCAGTTGTTGGGCAAACTTAACCACAAAGACCATACTGCACCATTTCCACAGGAAGTGACTTGACTTTCTTGGAGATCAGTTGAAAAGCTTGAGCTAACAGACCCTAAATTTAAACCTGCAAGGCAAAACAGTTCATATTGGAGAGCCCTTTATGCTGGAATTTATTTCCCCCATTACTTTGACAGAACTTGAGCCTAAAATTGCTGAACATTACTGAAGAAACAAGCTGTGCACATTAGGAAACTATTGATTTGGAAACCCAGTTTTAGGCACCCAAATACAGACTATTTCTGGCTTAAACAAGCTGAGGCGCAGAAATTATCTGCAAAAAGGGGATGGGTAATACCTGTTTCACAGTGCTATTATTGGGACTAACATTGGCAAAGACCTTCAGATTCTTGTATAAGAGTCTCTACAGAGCACATTATCTGGACTCTGGTGTGCTAGGGAACACTTGATGATATGGTACATAGAGAGTACGTACCCAGTCATCACAGCAGACCCATGGCGGAGTGCTGAAGGACATCACAGGAAGGAAGGTCACAATCTGCAACCACCGAATATAGAGTTCTTCATCTGTCAGGAACTCATTGACAAGGGTCCCTCCTGAGCAGAATGGATTCCATTAGTAGAAAGGCAAAGTAAAAATGAACGTAGCAATTCATAATGAGATACTTGAATCTGTGTTGCAATATGGAGTCAGGCTGTAAGCCCAAGAGCTTAGAGGTCCAGGGTTTATCCACAGTACAAGCATCACCAGAGCAAGTTTCCTTCACAGAGTCTTGCAGCACACTGCCACATGTTCTGGTGAGTAGCAAAGTACTGGAATCCTCAGATCCATTCAATCCTTGGCTTCTCTGCCAGACAGCAAACCAGGATGCAACTCATGGGCCATGAACATATTTTCACAGGGGAAATGCCTGAAAACATTGACTTATTACACAAAGGCAAATGTCATGTTGCTTTTTCAGTTGTGAACAATTCAGGTTATAAAGGCAATGATACAGAAATGAAACATTTTCAAACATGCCTAAATGATTTAGGATCACAGGAAAGTAGGGCCAGAAAGGACTTCACAAGGTCATCTAGTCCAGCCCCCTGCTCCAGGTAGGATCAACCTGACTAAACCATCCCAGCCAAATGTCTGTCCAGCCTGCTCTTGAAAATATCTAAGGGTGGAGATTCCACGTCTCTAGGTACCCTGTTCAAAAGCTTGACCACCCTTATATTCAGGACGTTTCTTCTAATCTCCAACATAACTTTTCTCTGCTGCAGCTTGAGCACCTTGTTCCTCGTCCTGTCCCTTGTAACCATGGAGAAAAACCCATCTCCACCCTCTCTATAATCACCCTTCAGGTATTTGAAGGCTGTTATCAAATCCCTCATCATTCTTTTCTTCTCCAGAATAACTAACCCTAGCTCTTCCAGCCTTTCCTCGTAAGGTTTGTTTCTCAGGCTCCTAATAATTTTTGTTGCTCTGCACTGGACCCTTTTTAGTCAGTCCACATCCTTCTTGAAGTAAGGGGCCCCAAACTAGACACAGTGCTCCAGGTGAGGTTGCACCAGTGCTGAATAGAGTGAAAGAATCATTTCCCTTGATTTGCAAGTGACACTTCTGTTAAGACAACCTGGCAAGCTGTTGGCTTTTTTGGCACAAAAGCACACTGTTGGCTCATATTCAGCTTATGGTCTACTATAACCTCCAGGTCCTCTGAAGGTACATTTATTTCCAAGATTGTATGTAATTATTTCACCCCGAGTGCTGGACTTTGCACTTGTCCTTGTTGATCCATTCTGGACCCTATTACTGCTCTACAGAGTGTTTGCAACTCTACCCAACTTTGTGGCATCTGCAAATTTGCTACGTATGCCCTCAGTCCCATTATCCAAATAATTAATGAACATGAGCTCTAAAGCCAACTGTGTTTCAGTGGAACCGAGGTTCTTAAGCTGTGTTAGAAGATTTTGCCTATCAGACCCACAATCTAATTCTGACCTTTGGGAAGACCTGTGTATTTCTTTATTACAGCAGCATTTAGACTCCCCAAAGGATAACAGATCCCCAGTGTGCTAGGTACTGTACATAAACATAGTAGGGACAGCGCCCATGAAAAGACTGCAATCCTGACAGATTAGTGTGAGAAAGAAGGGATTATCACTGTTTTATGGATGGAGAAGTGAGGCGCAGAGTATGGATATACTGCAAGGCGAGATTATAGCTGGAATTTCAAACAGGTCTGAATTCAGCATCCAACTCCCATCAAAATCCAGTGGCACCTGAACATAGGTTCCAACTCTGTGGGTGCTCTGGGGCTCAAGCACCCACTGAAAAAAAATAGCGGATGCTCAGCACCCATAAGACACAGCCATGGATGCTTGCAGGCATTAAAAAAACAAAACAAAAACATGCTTTACTGGAAAAAGTAGCATGTTACTTCAACCCAGCTCTTCAGTGTCTGTAAAGATCAGGCGTTTTAGCAGGGCTTTTTGACACTTAACTAAAGCTGATCCAATGGGCTATTAGATAAAAGTGTCAACCCCCACCCCCACTAAAGTGCCTAATCTCTACAGATGCTGCAGAACTGGGTTGAAGTAATACACCACCTGTTCTAGGCATGTGTTTGTGGCTTGGTGCAGGAACGTGCCAAGTTCAAAGCACCGTTTTTTGGGAGGTTTTTTTACATGTGCAAGCACCCACCAGCAAAAACCAAAGTTGCTACCTATGCACTTGAATGCCTCCTTGGAATATCCCAGTCTGTGTCAGACTTAGAAATATAAATCCACATCAGCAACTGATGTAAATTGGCACAACTTAATTGAAGCAAATGGAAAATTTTATCCATTGCCGGTCATTGTGTCTAAGCTTGACTATTTATACAGTGGACAGTTAGAAACCTGAATGTGTGACTGAAGCATACGCAAAACCAGGCATGACATTACTTATTTGGAAGCTGAGGTGTCTGGATCAAACATTGCTTGAACTATGAGAGGGTTGGGTGACATCTGAAAGAGGGTAGGGACTAATAATTAAGACTGAGAGGCTCATTAGATCCATGGGGAAAAGCTTAGACCAGAAAATGAATGGGACAGTCCTACAAGGAAGTTTAGGCACAATTGAGAACAAGTCTGGGCAGAATAAGACAGCTAGATTAAGAGGATGATGATGGAACAGATGGCCTCAGCTGTTGCATGGTAACTGTGTCTGTGCCTGTTTGAGGCCTAAATTTCCCCAGTTTATCTCTCACTGGGCTCATCTACATGAGATGCTAACTGCGCAGTAGCTGAATAACACTGCACAGTAACATGTCACAGCATGGACAGTGCTAATATGCTACTGTACAGTATTATTAGGCTACTGCACAGTAGCATCACTAAAAAAGTGATCACCGGCACTTTTGCACCATAACTCTGGTTACTGCGCATTTATTTAGTACTGGATTATACAAGTACTAAATAAATGTGCGGTAACTACTGCGCAGTAGCATCTTGTGAAGATATGTCCACTGTGGAGTAAGAATGCACAAATGAAGAGTTACTATTAAGACAGCTGAGGCCTCCTAAAACAGTGCCTCCTGGATGGGGTTACGTGAAATTACCATGTTATTCCAATTATAAGTCTACCTTTTTCCCCCTTAATAAGAGTCACAGGAGTCTCAATCAACAAATATGGAGTCAGTCTAAAAATCAGAACGGTATATATTATCATTCAGAGCAGATGGGTGCCATGCAGGGTCATCTGCACCATTGTGGTGGTAGGGTGCCCCCATGTCAAGCTGAGGTTGCAAGACTCCTGGCTTTACTGCAGGGAGCAGGGAAGCTGAAAAGCCTTGGGTCCTTAGCTCTGAGGCCATCCATGTGGCTGGTCACCACTGGAGCCACAGAGCTGAGAAACATCCCATAAGGTGAAGAAAGCCTTGCAGAGGTCTGATGGACCCCTACCTGTGTGTCATAGGAAGTTGGTCAAAACCAAGAGTGACACATCTGGAAAATTCCCACAGAACTACCCACTGGCTCCTTCCCCACATCCCTTAAAATATCAGGAAAAGATGGATTATGAGCTCCTAAAGCCAGGATCTAAGGTTTGGGGGCCATATGTCATTGAGGTTTAAATCCAGCACTGCAATTCAAATTTGGCCTTTTCTCTGTTTAAACCTATGAATGGTTTCCATTTACCTAAGACTGTGTCTTGATATGTACTGACATAGAATTGCAGCCTGAAGACAATATGGTGAACCTGGGGCAAAAAAGAGGATGGATTTTTTTTTTTTTTGCTAGTACTTTTAATGGGTCATTTCCTCAGTTATTTGATTCTCTTTGTGGATTTTGTAAGGAAGATAATAGTGCACGGACTTTATCTGTAAATATTAGCTTATGTTTAGCAAAAAAGCTGCTTTTTCTAAAACTGAACCTGAAATTATGTGGGATTAATATATGTAGCTGGAGCAATATGGTGTAGGTCTGCAAGTGAGATTGCAGAAATAGCTTTGGGAACCAGTTTTGTATGTATTTAATTATTCTTTCCTTTAACATTTGTTCTAAAGCCTAGAGGTCAGATTGCAGTTGCCTGAGCCACTTTCTTCCCCTAGCTCTAAAATATATAGGTACAAAATTTGGTATTCTCCAGTCATACAGTACCTGGAGTATGACTGATTTAATGGATTCTGACTTGATGGATTTAAATAAAAACCATTGCCCCAAACTTGCAATTTTGGTTCCAATTCTTTCAGAGTTTTAGGATGGGGATTACCTGGTCCTCCTGCCTAAATACATTACACTTTTGGTACCATTTTCCTAAAAGATTTTCCCCTATGTTTTGGATACAAGATCCAGATGGCTGTTGCACTCTAGATGTCAAGAAATTCCAAGTCTCCTCTGTATTCAAAAGCCAAAACTCTTCAGTCCAGCTGACTTTATTATTAAGTTATGTGTATCAAATGTTGACCTTTTGAAATCAAGAACCATAGTCACAGGCCTACTTTATTTATCTTTCCATGTGTACATCCTTTTAAATCATGACAACTCATGATTGCTGAATTCTTGGTCATTTTCTACAAGCAGGTCATTTATAATGTCCTCACTACTGTCCAAAACAAAGTTTAAGATAGTATAATCTCTTACTCATTTGGTGATTTTTAGTTAAGAAATCTGTTCAGTCATTGTATCTGGGCTTATCTGTGCCATATCATCTTGCTTGCCACCAGACAACTTTGAGGTAAAAAGACTGCTCTTTCATCCAAGCCAAATTTGGACAAAATGAACTATTTAAACCAGGAGATTTTGCAACACTTTAGCTCTCCTGTGAAACATGAATTTTCAATTCCACCTAGGAGAAATTTTACAATCTTTGCATTCTCCTATGCCTGAAGAAGAGTGTGGGTGCCTGCAAACTTGCAAATAATTTTTTTGTGTGTGTGCAAATATCTAGTTGGTCTAATAGAAGATATAACCTCTGCCACAAGTTCTGATTCCTTTCACCTGCAGACCAATATGGCTACAACTTGTATTTCTGATACCATTATTGGCAGCATTTATCTCCACTCTATTGGCCTAGCTATACAGCATGTCAAAATCAGTGTGTCTTATACCAGTTATATACACCACTGTAA